GCTTTAAAAAATTGAGTACGCTGAATAGCATTTCGCCCTATGTTAACCAACTATCCAAAACTGTTTATCTCACAATACTACCACTGAATGTAGTGGCACTAAGATTGTTATTACTACTGCTGCTTGGCCTTAATAAATTATATTTGACATGCAAAATATACGGCTAGATGCTCCAATATATAGCAAATTTGGTTACTTTTACTCTCTTTCTACTTCGCCCTAGCTTCCCAATTAAATACCACATTTTGCGTTACACCTTGTCAAATAGAAGAATAATAATGATAATATATTATAACAATAAAAAAGACAGAGGTTAACAAAATGTTTATACATAACTTACATGTTATTAGTTTGAACCTGTAGTATTGATTAAATTAATATACACTTCCCTTATTAATATTACCCCCCCCCCTCCCTCCCATCTACCACCGACCCACAAAAACAAACAGAGACTTCAATATAAGATGTGTTCGTGGTTCTATTGTCTTTTTATACTCTCTACTTGCGCCGCTCCGTGTGATTAAAATTTCAGCCAATCAGAAACGAGCGGCTCACCTGACAAACAACAGGTTGTAAATAAAAAATGAAAGTGCCGGTGATTATGGCGAGGGAGGGCTACTTGTTTAAAAGGACAAAATAGATATCAAGAATCGCGAATGAAAGTTTCTGACCGAGAGCAATACACGTAAAGCATCTGTGCCATATGTGTGATACCAAGTTGTTATTTTATACTGACAATATATGTAACTCTGACGTGTTCTTGTAGGGAGTATGAAATTAAGACAAATACTTATCTTGACCTAAAAATGAAGATAAAAGTTCCCGAAATGCAGAAAAGAGATCGCATCTTGGAGAACCCGGGCATCGATCCCGGTACCTCTCGCATGCTAAGCGAGCGCTCTACCATCTGAGCTAGCTCCCCTTCAATGGATATGGAACAACCTTGTTCAACTTTTACAGAAAAGTTATATTTGTCTTGAAATCTAACAGAATACTTAAACAAATTGAGTACACTTAATAGCATATTCGCCCTATGTTAAACAACTATCCAAGACTGTTTAGTTTATCTCATAATACTACCACTGAATGTAGTAGCACTAAGATTGTTATTAATACTGCTGCTTGGCCTTCATAAATTATATTTGACATGCAAAATCTACGGCTAGATGCTCAAATAGATAGCAAATTTGGTAACTTTTACTCTCTTTTTACTTCGCCCTAGCTCCCAGATTTAATAACACTTTTCGCGTTACACCTTGTCAAATAATAAAATGATGATAATGATAAAATATTTTAACAATAAAAAAGAAAGAGGTTAACGAAATTATTATACATGAATTACATGGTATTAGTTGGACCTGTAGTACTGTTTAAATTGATATACACGGCCCTTATTATTACTACCCTCCCCCCTCCCCCCCCCCCATCTACCCCCGAACCACAAAAAGATAACAGAGACTCCCGATACAAGATGTGTTCGTGGTTCTATTGTCCTCTTATCCTTTGAACTTGCGCCGCTCCGTGTGATTAAACTTTCAGCCAATCAGAATCGAGCGCCTGGGCCGACAAACAGCAGGGTGTAAACCTTAGATGAAAGTGCCGGTAATTATTGTAAGGGAGGGCTACTTGTTTAAAAGGACCAAATAGTTATCAAGAATCGTCGATGAAAGTTTCTGACCGAGAGCAATACATGTAAAGCATCTGTGCCATATGTATGGTATCAAGCTGTTATTTATACTGAAAAATATGAAATTCCGACGTGCTATTAATGGGAGTATGAAATTAAGTCGATACGTATAATGACCTAAAAATGAAGATAAAAGTTCCCGAATTGCAGAAAAGAGATCGCATCTTGGAGAACCCGGGCATCGATCCCGGTACCTCTCGCATGCTAAGCGAGCGCTCTACCATCTGAGCTAGCTCCCCTTCAATGGATATGGAACAACCTTGTTCAACTTTTACAGAAAAGTTATATTTGTCTTGAAATCTAACAGAATACTTAAACAAATTGAGTACACTTAATAGCATATTCGCCCTATGTTAAACAACTATCCAAGACTGTTTAGTTTATCTCATAATACTACCACTGAATGTAGTAGCACTAAGATTTTTATTACTACTGCTGCTTGGCCTTAATAAATTATATTTGACATGCAAAATATACGGCTAGATGCTCCGATAGATAGCAAATTTGGTCACTTTTACTCTCTCTCTACTTCGCCCTAGCTCCCCGACTTAATACCACATTTTGCGTTGCACCTTGTCATATAGCAAAATAATGATGATAATGATAATATATTATAACAATAAAAAAGACAGAGGTTAACATAATTAGTAAACATAAATTACATGGTAATAGTTGGACCTGTAGTACTGATTAAATTAATATACACGGCCCTTATTATTATTACCCCCCCCCCCTCCCATCTACCCCAACCCACAAAAAACAATCAGAGACTCCAAATATAAGACGTGTTTGTGGTTCTATTGTCCTCTTTTCCTTTTAACTTGCGCCGCTCCGTGTGATTAAACTTTCAGCCAATCAGAATCGAGCGCCTGAGCCGACAAACAACAGGGTGTAAACAATAAATGAAAGTGCCGGCGATTATAGTGAGGGAGGGCTACTTGTTTAAAAGGACCAAATAGATATCAAGAATCTCAAATGAAAGTTTCTGACCCAGAGCAATATATGCCATATGTGTGGTATCAAGCTGTTATTTATACAGAACAAATATGAAGTTCTGACGTGCTATTGTAGCAAGTATAAAATTAAGACAAATACTTATAATGACCTAAAATGAAGATAAAAGTTCCCGAATTGCAGAAAAGAAATTGCATCTTGGAGAACCCGGGCATCGATCCCGGTACCTCTCGCATGCTAAGCGAGCGCTCTACCATCTGAGCTAGCTCCCCTTCGCTGGATATGGAACAACCTTATTCAACTTTGACAGAAAATGTATATTTTGTCTTGATATCTAAATGCTTTAAAACAATTGAGTACACTTAATAGCATATTCGCCCTATGTTAAACAACTATCCAAGACTGTTTATCTCATAATACTACCACTGAATGTAGTAGGACTAACATTGTTATTACTACTGCTGCTTGGCCTTAATAAATTATATTTGACATGCAAAATATACGGCCAGATGCTCCAATAGATAGCAAATTTGGTTACTTTTACTCTCTTTCTACTTCGCCCTAGCTCTCCGATTTTACTTTTTTTTTTATTTATTACCCCCCCCCCCCTACCCCTCCCCCTCCTTACCTTAACTCCAAAAACACACACATACAGTTTCTCAGTTTAGCCCTCCCGACATGACTTGCCTGTGTAATGTTGTCCAACGACGCACCAATCTTTCGAACTTTTGCCATGTAGCGTTATTGTTCTTTTAGCCAATCAGAAACGAGCGTAGAGTAAAAACACACAATGTTACTTCCTGTGTTCATTTTCTTTATATGAAACGGAGCGATGCAATACCCCCGGCCCGTCCCACACCACACCACAGTCATTGTTCGATGCCGCTCTAAGCTCCTTTGACCTCGCCGTTAACATACTTTCAGCCAATCAGATGCGAGAGTCTCAGTGGGGGGAAACATTAGGCACGAACAATAGATGAAAAGTACCGCCATTAATCGCTTCATGGACATTGTTTTAATATTCAAATACTTTGGCCTAGATGGGTTGGAGCTATCTTTCTTGCTTTGCCTTCATAATTTGTGTTTGACTTGCACGATATATTATTTTAATATGCTACATGTTCTATAAGCAGGGGCAGCGATCCCGGGGTAGGGGAGTCGTCCCCCCCCCCCCGGAAATTTAGAAAAGTGCCCCCAAAAATGTATAGCAAGTACTGATTAAAGACTGAAATCACTTTTAGGCTCTGGAGGGCCCAATAGTGCAGCGTTTAGACTAATACAAATGCAAAAATCTTCTTGCTCGGTCGCTACGCTCCCTCGCATAATATCCTTCAAAATGTACTAGTCAATATCGCATTTCGTCCCCTCCCCGGTCAGGAATAGAAATCGCCGCCCTGTCCATAAGATTGTATGTTTGGTCAATTTATTACTCTATCTCTGCCTCGCCCTTTTCCCTCTACCTCCTTGGTATCACGCTAGCTCTCCCTTTTTAATTCCATGTTTTTTTGTTCTTTTTTACTTTATACTTTTATTTTTGTTTTACTTCTCCTTTCTGCTTCGTGGTTTTGTTTTTATAAAAAAAAATGAAAAGCCGAGTCGTGAAAATCAACCAAAGTTGTGGTACTGGCTTTCTCATCGAAATAGTTTAGTCCACTCCAGTTCTTGGCATTCTCTTCCCAGTTGATTCTGGGTCTCCCTCTCGGTCTACTACTTCCTTCCACTCGTCCTTCCAATACATCGTCGAGCGTAGCATGGTAGACAATCAACTGGGAAGAGAATGTCAAGAACTGGAGTGGACTAAAACTGCAAGAGTGCACTAGAATGGCGGAAGATAGAGTGAAATGGAGAGATGTTGCAATCAACCTCCGACCGGGAGAAGATACTTAGATAGATAGAACACTCGACGATAAAGAATGATTTACTATACACCACATTTCGCGTTACTCCTTGTCAAATAGAAAGAAAAAAATGATCATGATAATATATTATAACAATGATAATACAGAGGTTAAAAAACAAATATTATACAGAAATTACATGGTTTATAGTTGGATGTGGAGGAATGATTAAAATAATATACATGGTGTTTCTAATTATTACCCCCCCCCCCTAGCTACCCCCACCTCACATATCAAAGAGAAACTGCCGATATAAGTGATCGAGGTTCTATTGTCTAACGGAGCTCCTATCCTTTTATTTGAACTTGCACCGCTCTGTGAGATTAAACTTTCAGCCAATCAGAATGGAGCGCCTGAGCCGACAAACAACAGGGTGTAAACGATGGATGAAAGTGCCGGTAATAATGGTGAGGTCGGGACGTTGTGAGGGAGGGCTACTTGTTTGCTAATAAATAAAAATACATTTCTCTCCAATAAGCATTACATCTTTTGACTTTCTGTACGAGAAGACTTGTTTCAACATTTGCTCCGAGAGATATTTCCAGAAAAAGAGAATACCAGTATTACACTTGTTTTCAGCCTTCTAGATCAAACCACAGCACTCATAATGTAAGTAGTAAACTAAAGTTGTTTGCATTTTGTTATCTTGTTTCGTACATAATTATAGTCACAAAGTATTAATTTATTTGCAGAAAGTTGCAATATATTATAGACCGAAAAATATTTTGATTAATGTCCAACATAATTACTAATCGTTATGTATCTCTTTTTCTTGTCATGACAGGTATCAAATGGAAAATCTGCTGACGCCCTCGCCTCCCTCCTACCTCAGTCAGCCGAAACTAATCAGCCCGTCTTCGATCGCCATTATATCCTACGAACCTGACTTCAGCAAGGCCATCGCTTCCATCATCTGGTCTCGACATCGTACTCAAACGACCTCCGTCATCTTCAAATGCAACGTCGCCAACTGTCCGCTGTGCCCATCAGAGGACGTCGAGTCAGCTACAACGCGTACTAGCAAGAGATTGATGAGGAGTCAGCGAAGAAATTTTGTTCGCGCCAAGAGATCGGTCGGGCAGAAGAACGGTAAATCGACGACAGCTTTGGTCGCGGACTTTGCGTCATTGCGTCTGACTTCAGCACGGCCATGGATGTCGCCTTCCTCATCGTACTCGATGACCTCGTCAGCCAGTAGCAGCCGCTCAGTTTCTCCGTCTAGCTCTATCGATGTCAACAGCCCAAGCGTCGATACGACGTCCTCTTGCAAACTGACATCGTTTCTCTCATTGCCTTCGAAGCGACGCCGAGTCGACGAGATTTAGACTCTTTCGACAAGATCACATCCAAGGAGATTGATGAGGGGAATCTTCAAAAATCAGACTGATCTGCATAACGATCAAATTAGTATCATCAGATTTATGTGAACATCTGCTGATTGTATTGTGTCTGATTGTATTGTGTCTACCTTTATGATTTGTTTTTGTTTTTATTTAACGTCAATTGAGAAGAATAAATTTGACAGTTCCATGTATATTGCCAGTCGGCTTGTTTTTCTTTTCGAGTTGTTGTGTTTACATAATGAGTTATTATAGTGTACAATATTGAATCAATGTAACATTATTTGTATGAGACGTGACATGATTGAAAAAGCAAAGAGGTCTGAGAATTCGGAAAAGAGAAAGATAATGAGAGTTTAACATTTTATTTTATTCAGGGTAAATGTTGAAATTATCGCACTGCGAGTTTCTTATCTGCAAATCATTAATTGTATCAGCTTTCACACAATGCAGGTATTAATTAACAATATTTTCTGTTTTTAAAGAAAGAGCTAGCTAGAGTGAGAAAAGGGAAGTGTTTGTAGGAAGAGAGAGAGAAGGTGAAGTTAAAATTATCGATCCAAATTAAGTAGACAACAAAATATCCCTTCGTCTTTTGCAAGGCTCTTATCCCCTGCACTGTCTCATTCTTTCTGTTTGTCTCATTCTCTCTCTCTCTCTCTCTCTTTAGTAGTTATAGAGTTCTTCTATTAGTTTCAATCTATCTACCTATATTATCTATCTATCTATCTATCCATCTATATCCACATATCCACCCACCCATATCTACCCATATAGCAATTGCTATGCTTTTAGATATTATGTACTAGAACAGGAAAATAAAAGAAACAGAAAAGGACTGCAAGTTGTAGGACACGATAAAGGAAGACCAAAGATATTCGTTTTTTTTTTCCTTTTTATAAATCTCATTTTACAAAAATAAGATCTATTCTATTTCGTTAGTCAACTAGACTAATTATTACAGAAGCCTGTAATTAGATGCGGTATAAGGCCTTCTTTTCATCTATTGTCTAGGTCAGTTCTGTTATTGTCCGCTCAGAGTCTTGCCTTGTGACTGGATGGAAGTGCGATGACGCGGTAGGTCAAAGCACTGACCTCTACATTCAGTGGGTCAAAGGCACTAAGGGCGGCATGAACACAGAACCGGAAATTACGGATTTTCCAGTTCTGTCAGGGCATCAGAAACGGCCGCCTTCATGGGAAGAGCGGGAATAGGTGGGTGTGGGAGAGGGAGGCATTTTTGTACAAAGAGGCTAATGCTATTTAATAAACACCGTCTCTTTCCATTGTCAATTGAAAAATTGAGAGGCGAAGGGGATGAATAACAAAATGAATTGTGGACATTTTATGATTGTAAACGTACTAATGCAAACAATTACAGGAAAGACATTAGAAAAAGAGTAGATATAGATTTAATCAGAAACAGATTAACAAAGAAGCTAAGGTGCAGATAAAATAAGTATAAGAAAGGAAGAAGTAAGCAGTATAGAGCGAGGTATCAGAGAGGGATACAGGTAGGAAAAGCGAGATCGTGGGGAAAGATAGAGGGTGATTTTAAAATCAAAGGAAATTAAAATATATACATTATTTTATAACGCCTCCCTTTAACACATGCACTACATTGTACAGACTTCGCAATAAATCTCACGGTGGGCTTTGACGTACAATCTATAGCAAAGAATGTCCATTTCCTCTGTTCAAGGGCCAGCAGTATATCATTAACACTTCGGAGAACAGCAGACTCGCAACTGTGATAAGGCCTGTACCCGGATTGCATTTGGTGGCGGATAACTTTCACATTATTTGTTTACAACACACACAACTATACGATTATTACTTTTGTTTTCAACACAAGAAACACAGAAGCTTAAAATGGCAGTCTCCTGCATTTTCAGTTTTCATTGTCACATTTGTTGTTATTAAGTATAAATATTTAATTGACTTATAATCAAACAAAATACATATGTTTAGACATCAATGAATACGGTGGACGTGGTACGATGATGAGAAAGCATTAATGAAGATAACAACCTGAAATAACAGACCGATGGTAAATAGAATTAAAGTGATCATGTAAAATTGAAATATTAGTCTTGAAGGAGAGAAAAACGCTTAATTACATTAGCACTTGGCGTTATTATGTATGTTATTATTAGCCACGAGCTATAATGCAGTACATCCCTTATGTTGTTCAATATTATGGTTGTCGTCTATTGGTTAGGCGGCTTAGGCCGTTCATTACTTTTTATAGTTCACGAGGACTCTTGTATCTGATTGGTTGAAGTAATGATGACGCGGCACATGACTTTTTTGAGACAGCACTTAATCATTTTAATTTTGTTCCTGTCGTAATTTCATACACAGCCGAATCATCACTGGTCGGTAACTAATTTGTATATCTGTGGAATGTGGAGAAGTGCACCGTAATCATTTAGAGGGGGAAACAATTAGAGGGGGATCGGACGGATCGAGGGGGATTCCTAGAAACTTATTTCTCTACAGCGGTTTTCAAACGATTTGTAGACCCTTAAACTTTTCCTTAAATATACCATACAGTTGAAAGTAGTGCATTTTGTAAAAATTATTTGAAGTAAGATTTGTGACATTTTTTAATTAAAAACAAAAAATCTTTTAACTTTTCCTGTCAGTTTCCTGTAAGAGGATTTCGGCGGAGTATAGCGTCATGATTATTTTGTTTGTTTATCAGTCTTAGACTCTATAGTTATCGCGTCCAACATCAACATAATTATGACTGGTTTAATTGCTGAGTATATCCTGCATGGTAATGCTGTATATTATGATAACTTTAACATAACTATAAAAGAAGAATGTAATACTTTTCTCTCTCTCTTCGTCACCACTTACCCTCGCCCCCCCTCCCCTCCCACACGGCCCCCTCCCCCATGGGGCCCACCCCCCCCCCCCCACCCAGGCCCAATGCAACACATAACCACAACATTTTATCTTTTAGTTTTACGATTTCCTGAAAAGAAGCCTAGATCTAGCTCTTATTATTTTACGCGTAAAACAAATCCTTAGAGAAGCTAAGCTGCGTAAAATATTCACTTCGAATGACAAACGCGCCTACAAACTAAAACAACAACAACACATTTGTTCGATCTAATCGACACGCGACAAGTAAGCTCAGCTTAGACTATACTTTTCGGTTAGATTAATTGACTGTAGGCCTAGTCTATAATAAACTGAGCCGACATACGAAAGAAGCTGACAGGGTGATGTGGAGCTGGCGAATATTTTGTTCGTGTTTGATTGTCATTTGTATGCACTTGAGAGTGGAAATGGCCATGAAAGAATCAGTAGGTATGTTTTATCAGCAGTTGGATCATTCGGCGCGCCTGGAGCTCCGGCGGTATGTGCATGGTCTTTCCGCTTGAAATTGTCGTTACATGTGTGCCACGTACAGATAAGCGGATTTTGGTAAAATTTATTTACAACCACGAAGTGAAGAATAGGTCAACAGTAAACACACGTTTGCTTCTTGCTATGTTTTCGATTCACTTTGGAACTAGGATCTAGATCTAGACTTCTAGTCAATTTGTTGAACTGAAGTGAAGTTTGAACTTCTGAAGTGAAGACTGAAGTGGAAGTTCAAGAAAAAAAACTCCTAAGAGTAAGAGTCCTAATGCATAAATTAATAACTAAACTAACTTCTTTTAAGTTTAAAGATAAACTTTAGTTCTGCTGGTAATGCGATTGCATTGTGAAATAAAAGGTGTGGAAAGGATCAGAAATAGTTGATTATGTAGTAGGCCTAGTCTAGTGTCCATGTAAGTATTGGTGTGCACTGCAAGGTTCTGGAGTCATCAAAATCATATTTGACCGAGTCTTGGTAAAGTAACAAGCACTGTACACAGAAAGCTATTTATATAGGACAACACACATGGTATCGGGCCGGGCTAGTAATGCCTTGATTTTCTTGTCTTCTATGCTCATTACTCAGCCAGTATACATTTTCTTCCAAAATTGTTTGGCACATGTCATTTATTTGTAATCTTGAACATTCAATGTAAGTTTCATTTGATTCTGTGAGAATTCATTTTCTTTTTTTTACCAGAACTCAAGTTTATCTTTAATTGGACTTCAGATTACCGGTAGTTTTTTTTAGTTGGATTGATTTGACATTTTGAGTTTGTGGATGAAGGTGTTTTGTGTCTGGGTAGGGGAAACATTACAAAAATGATGGTGTTAATTTTCTTGCTCCTTGGCAATGTCAATGCCATTGCTTGTCTTTTGTACTTTTATTGTAGTGAATTTGGAAGTTTGCTGCTTCTCTAGAATTTTTTGGTTTGTGCCAAAGTTTCGGGGCATGTGATTGTTGGAGATTGGTGTTTGACTGAGTGTATGAGACAGAAATAATTGTCTGGTATGGGGAATTCTTTAATAAATATGTCAACCTCCCCCAATCCCTTGCACTGTTGCAGCAATCACAATAGACTTAGGGAGGATTAATCATTTATAACTAGATCTAGGGAATTTTTGCTGGAAATCCTGGAATGCGGCAAAAAATTTGCCTTCTGTTTTTCTTTATCTGGACTTGACATGCAGTTTGATTTTGAAAAAGTGATGATTGCATGGTGCCATGGAGAAAAAAAAAAAAAAAATTCGTATTTAATACTGTATAAAGAACATAAATCAATACCACATTCCTTTGTCACAAATATTTTTGTGATTTTTTGTCTAAATATGGCAGCATTTATGGTTCACTGACATAGCAAATTTGCCCCACATTTTCTAATTCTTAAGCCCCTCTGTCCCAATTTTTACCAGGAGGAATTATACCTCCCTGCCTAGTCACTGACAGGTGGTTATCTCATCATATCAGCTCTCAATTAACATAAGAAAAAGGGGACCATGGGGGATCACTTACTTTCAGCTAATCTGCATGTTTTCTTGAAGCTACTGCCCGGGATGAGATCAGCAATCACACACAAACTGCATCTCGTAATCTCCACTCACTAACCCATACCATGTACTCCAGTCTGTATAACTATAAGCGGTCTGTGGAGCCAGACATACATACAGTCACTCTCAGTGCAACAACCATCAATATCAGAGACTGAAGCTTTCAGTCTATGTGTATGTGTGACCTGGCCTGGTAGTGTCTCTTCGTATTCTTATGTGTAGTACATGATTGTTAGTGGAGTAGGTAAAGACCTGTAGTAAAAGGCGCACAACTATAAATATGGAGACTACATATAATTTTTGTGACTTCTGTCAAGAGTTTTGGTTGCCTACCATATTTATTTACATGTACATTTCTGGGGGCTGCATGCAAAGGGATTACCTTGGCTCAAATAAACATACGATGACTATGAAAAATAACTCCTTTTGACCAGTGGTGTCGATCTTTTCTTAAAACCTATTGATCAGGGGAATGAATTGAATAGTTCATCCCCCTCCCCCTTCCCTGAAAAATAGGTAAAAATTACAGATCTACGCCCATGCTTTTGACCATCTTTTTACAAATCTGTGAAGAATGAAAAGATTCCGAGCATCCTCTCAAAGTGACACTTTTACGTCAACTACAATGATCGATTTGTGTGTTCACAAAGTGCATATACCATTGGGGTGTGCGTTGTGTGAACCATAGCGTGGAGATATGAACTTAATTTATGATATCGTTGCTATGGTTCCGTCTGTTCTGTTTGCTGCCGCTGCACCTCTCCATGAATCAACTAAATTATGCAAAATAAGTACCGGTAGTTTGAGTGCCTATGAGCAAAATGCAAAACAAAATAAATATATTTTCAACAGTCTCCAACCATACATGTATCTGTACTCAGCGTTCTTATGAAGGGGGGGGGGGTGTCACTTTCAAAGTTTTGCCTTAGTTTTTTTTTAAAAAGTATGCATCAGATAGGACTAATCATAAATATTTGTCTTTTATAATATTGTCTATAAAATTGCTTCTAAAGTTCTGAAAATCACAGATTGAAATCAACTGTTCAGAAACACAACCTGTCTGAACACAAAAGGTCAAGGTATACCATTTCAGTGTAATTAATTTGGCATACCGGTACATCCCTTTTTCTTACTCTTTCGAAATTCAGCGTAGTGTGAATTTCATTGGATGCTGTGAAAATTCAAGTTTTTCTCCCTACAAGATCTCAAGACTATGCAGTGATTTAGGGGAAGTCTGATAAATTTTGTGGCTCGAGCCTTGGCTTCAGACTGAGTCACATACAAAACCTATGACTGAACTGCTGCCCTCCACTATTTCACTGGTGTGCACGGTGTGTGCGCCATTAATTTGTTTAAAATTAATACTTTCTTTCCCTCTCTATCAACAGAAATGGACAACACACTGAGCAATGGACTTGCCTATGGAGGGATACTGAACAATCTGGTTTCTCTACCAGCTGATGATACAGATATTGAAGCAGTTGCAAAGGTAACAACAATTCAATTACAGGATAGATTGATGTCACTTTCAATCTACATCACTGCTCAAAGGGCATTCCAAGAAGATCGTAGTTCCTTTTGCCAGAACGCTGGTCTACCAAAGGAGCTTTCTTCCCGGATGCTAGAAGACTCTGAAACTTCCTCCCTCAGAACACTGTTAATTGTACCTCTGCTAACACCTTGAAGCAAGAGGTACAAAAACCATGCTCCGCTAAAACGGTAGTTGTTTTTACTCGCACTCAGTTAACTATAGCTTTTATCAGACATTGTACACACACCTGCACAGCTGCACTGCACCTCAACAGTACGACAATACACCTGATGGTGGCCTGTACTGCGACTGAAGAAGAAGAATATCATATTATCAAAGTGGATCTAGACATACATGAAAGTAAATACTGTGGAGGAGTGGTACGAGAAACAAAAACTAACTTGCACTTCTCGTATTCACATGCAGTTTTGTGATTTGTTTCTTTCCTTAGTACTTTTATCATAATCCACATCGGCAGTGAAACAAAAAAATTGCATTCAGAGATATTACAGAAATAGCAGATATGGCCCAGGATAATGGATTTACCAAAGCAAGGCATAACAAATATTTAAAAAAAACAGTATATCTGTACAAAATTCTACTAAAAATTCCTTGTGATGAAGGATTTCCTAGTTTTAGTTCATTTTGTTATTTATTTATTTCAATTTTGTTTCATTTCTTTGTTTAGTTATTTTACATTTGTATTGATTTATTTTTTGCGGGGGGGGGGGGGGGGGGGGATGCGACAGTTTTCAGGTCATTGATGAATTACATTATGATTCTTGTGTATGCTAATACATATACACCATGCATCATTCTCTGACATGAAATGTACAAATTGAATTCAGAACTTAAAATGATGATACTGCTGTTCTGTTTGAGAATAATGTCAAATGTTGAATGAATATTGATTGTCACTCTTGAATGATCAAATTCTTCCTGCCCACATGGTTGATAAGATGCTGTTTTCCCTTCATTGATTCAGTTTGCAGCGGATTATGCATTGAAGCGGCATCCACAGTCCATGCCTTTGAATGAACAAAGTGAGATTACCCCATGGCAGATCCTTGAACCTAAGAAATTAGTGAGTATTATAAGATGATGATGTGGATCCTAATCAAATGATTGGTTGAAAACGTACACATGACCAGGCATTATTTTGCCTAATGCGTAATTTGGATTATGACCTGTCATTATCCAATATTAATGACCGGTCATTAGTAAAATCATGTATAAAACATCATTTTATAAAAAATAAAAAAACATAATACACATCATTTTGTTCGAGCATTGGTAAAATTATCCACACTCGGTACCTTCAAAGCAGTCCAAACACCCTCGGCTATCACCTTGGGCGTGTTAGACTGTTCCAAAGGTACCTTGTGTGGGTAATTCTTACCAATGCCCTCATTGCTGTGTATTATGTGTATAATATGTATCAAATAATTGAAGTTTACTTTTTCATGGCAAGCATTCCACATTGTGTGGTTGGGCTCAGTAGCTGTTGATGCAGAGTCCTCAAAATATATCAGACATGAAAAGAAAAGAAAGGGAAAACATTTCTTTGTGACAAATTCACTTGCTTGTATATTGTTTTCAGAGACTATGTGTTTTATTAGAACAGTGTATCATCAAAAGAAAAATATTTTTGTTGCCAATTTGAAGAACAAGATGCGATCAATTATTACAGCTTGGAAATTAAAAAATCCCTGTCTATAAAGAGAAACATGTGAGGACTGATGAGCTGCAATAATTCAAGATGTATTCTGTTAAGCACTCGGATTCTGTATTTGGTTATTTTCAAAGTTCATAGCAGACATGTTTACAAACATAATAGACACATGAAATCAGGCCAGATAATAGATATTTGTTAAAGAACCTTGTTCTGACTCAAATTTCTTTTACCTTTTAAAAGCAAGTATATCACAGTGCTGCGACAGCTCGTGACTAGTTGGAAGACAAGATTGCTAGAAAATATAACAATTTTTTTGGGCAATCACACTGAATTGCTTCTTATAATACATTTGAGTATGTTGCAGGAACTTTTGGCCAAATTTTGGAAAAAGTTTGTGTGGAGTCAGCATACTTGTCATGCACATTTTGTTATATTTGCAATTTAGTCACAAAGTGTCTTAATAGTTATATCCCAAATTGTTTACAATTTATTTTTCATTGATTAACCATTTTGTTGTGCTCCCAGGGGCCCTAAGGCAGTTTGCACCTGACTCACGCTTGGAATGTCAAATTCTCGTTGTTGTCTTCGATCAGTCGCAATTGAGTTTCATAGGTCGCCAACCCCTCACAAAGTTGTCTCACATTTCTTGCACTTTCTGACTCACAGAAACTGAATTGAATGGCCCGAATTCACAAAGGATGTTTAAATTTAACCCTTGGTTTAAACCTTCATTTATGTAACCCATGGTTTAAAAATAAGTGCAAAATAAGGGTACTTTGCCTTGCGCGCGTCTAATATTGGACCTCTTGACTGTGTTGCGTTTATTTTGCGCTAATTTTAAACCATGGATTATGTAAATGAAGGTTTAAACCATGGGTTAAATTTAAACCTACTTTGTGAATTTGGGTCAATATGTTTGAGCTTATCTGTTGTTTTCATGCTCTGCTCCACTCCAGAAATTGCACTTCACCCAGGATGGCAAGAACCTTTTCATCTATGAGGAAGTGTCCCAGGGACCTGGTGGTCTTCAGGTCCAGAACAGACAGGCAATCCTGGGAATCACTTACACATTCACCCTCTCATGGCCCTCACAGCCGGAAAGCTACAATCACAGATTCACCATCAATAAAGACAGAGAAAAACAGCTCCATGTGTACTCCCACACATTCTCCAAGCGCACTTCAGCATCGGATTCCAAAGAGAACTGCATTGACCAATCAGAGAGCTGCAGCTCTGAGGCAGCCAAAACTTTGGACCAATCAGAGGGCAAGGTTACTCTGGACAGCCAATCAGAGTGCAAGGATGGAAGCTCTCATAATGTATGGACAGAGACGCAAGGAGAGAAAGCAGAAGTAGGCAGTAATCGTTTGGAGACTGATGAGATAATTGGAAGGTTTACAACATATAACATTTGGAATTTCAACGGAAAGTCTAAGGGAGAATTTGATAAAAAGTTCTACCCTCCAAGAGAAGCCCACATGGGGAAGGTATGTAAAAGAAATTTCTTCCATGAAAGAGAGGGGAAAATTAAATGCTACCATTTCATTATTTGAGAGGGGGCGTTTCCAAAACTGGTCTTTACCTTTAAAGGTGTAAGGGGTTGAGGGTCATAGCATCATAGTCATAATCATATATATGGTCATCGCTGCTTTGCCAAATTGGGACTAGTCTCCCAAAAGAGATTTTTCACTTGGAAGCCCTATTCAAGAGAAACTAAACTTTATAGACTAATGACCTTCCTAGACAAAATTAAAACCATGCAGCTACTTCCTTTCTCTCCCCTTTACTCTTCTTCTATGAAAGAGGATGTAGACATCAAATTTCAGTTTTCAGGACCTTGAAACATCTTGGAAAGAGACAAAATAAGAAAGTCAAACCTGCTTTAGTGACCACCTGCCTACAAAGAATAATAATAATACACAATATTTATAAGGCGCTTAATACTGGTGTCTCTAAGCGCACCATATTCTGACTAACCAATTATTTACCAAAACTTATAATAAACACACAACTTATACATCTGTTCTTTATTCAAAAAATCATGCATATATAATAATAAAAAATAAGATAAGAGTGAGATCCAACATACATACAAGAGGTCAAACATAGGATCAGACATAAGATCAAAAAAAAAATAAAAAATAAGACGGTGTGCACCTCCTTTGACCGACTCACAACTGCAGAATATTGTTTATGAATTAAAAAGGTGAGTTTTCAGCAAGGACTTGAATTGGTCAAAGACCACTTTTCTTGTCTCCCTTGGGTGGTCTTTATAGACGGGTTTCAATGTATAAGCAAACCGACCAAAAAGATGCAAATGGCGTGTTTTAAATTTTGTTAACCATTTCTCTCTCGAATGTTCTGCCAAGGCAAGGTTTTACACACCAGAGCCTTCTTTAAATCTTTCTCCACCCCTCTCTACCATTGTCATACATGTATGTAGGGACACTGATTTTCCGTTTAAAAAAATGGCCTTTTCCGTTTCAGAAAATCTGGAATTCCGTTTCAGATGGGCTGAAAAACGGAAATTCCATTTTGCCATAGACCTTGTACACATGAAAAAAATAAAATTCTGTTTACATAAGATTTTCATTAAAACATGAACTTGTAGGGTACAAATGTTCTATTAAAGCCGCCACCTTTGACAAGCCACTGATAACCACTCAAAAACATACGGACGGGACTGGATAAACTTGATGCAAAATACTAGTGCAAATATAGACCCCTACGGGCCCTAGAGTCTAGGCTAGACCTACGAAAATTATCAAAATGTTTAAATTTACCAACTTCAAATTCGAACTTAGACAAGCAGACTAAAGTCAGCGGAATATGTCAGAACACGACATATTCCTGACGGAAAGGATGAGTACCGACGTCGACGAAAACATTTCAGTCTTGGCTGTCATGTCCCGATCGATCGATTTTAGGCGCACATGCCAGCCCTTTTTTCGAACTGTACAACAGCGTGTGTACAATCTCGCCGCACGTAGCGCCCGCTGCTGGCGTGTGTGTGCCTAGTATTACGTCTACATAATACTAGGCGCCTAGCTGGCATAATAGGATCGTTTCGCTGCTATTTGTACCGCATTTTGTGTCACGATCTCTATTGGTCTAGCGAAACAAAATGGCAGCGCCCGGTCTCCTAAGAATCTGACGAATATCGCTAAATATTCTGAATTATTAACCATGATTTGAGGCCTAATATTTTTTCACTGCATAACGAGTCACAAAAATAGTGTAAGTTTTACGATTTTCTTCTTGAAAAATGAAATGTTTTGAGGTAAGCGGGGTTTTCCGCGATTTTCCGTTCGAAATTGCATTTTCCGTTTCAAATGGTCAATTCCGTGAATTCCGTCCGTTTTCCGTTATCGCGGAAAATCAGTGTCCCTACATATGATCTGTCACCTATCAAGTCTGACACCATCCCAATTCTTGGTCTTCCTCTTCCTCGTTTACCATCCCATCTTCCCTTCTAAGATATCCCTGAAAATGTTATCACCCTTCCCCCCCCCCCATCACGTTTTTCTTTTCGTTCAAGTTCCTTTGTTCATTTACATATTTTTTGTATTGCATGCATTTTCGCTTCAGCTCCTTGTAGGCTCCAACAGTGACATTATTGGTTTACAAGAGGTGCGTTATGACTACCAGTACAGCTCATTATGTGGTCCAGCCCAGGTCTCTCATTTTGCAGATCATCTAAAAGGCTACCAAGTAAGTCAATACAATAAACAACTTGTATATAAAGACCGCTCAAGGTAGATTACAAACGTTGTCTTTAAAGGCAGGTGGTATTTATATATAGGTTCAGTTACATCATTTCTTAATGGGAAGCTATATTCAAGGGAAACAAAACTTTATAGACGGATGACATTCCTATAAAGAGAGCAATATTTTAAACATGCAGCTTCTTCCTTTCTCTCCCCCTTACCTCTTAATTCTTCAAAATTTCTTTTTCTCCATCTCGTTCTGTTCACCTACTTCTGTCTCTCTCTCTCTTGTTTTCTTACTCTAATATTTACTCTCCTCTCATTTCAGTTCATATATCAACCAGCCAATACATTTTGGAGAGGGCACCTTGGCAGATCAGAAGAAGGATTGGCTCTATTCTCCAAGTATCATATCCTCTCTCATGACTATATTATGCTGTCGAGGTGAAGACATGATTTTTTTCATAATGTTCGTAATCTCAAAATGTCCTTCTTTTTCCATCTTTTTCTGTCATCTCCTCTAATTTCTTGTTTTCCTGTCCTTTTCCCACTCTTTCTTTCTTTTTCTTCTCTAAGATGTATTTCCCTCCATAATATGTTTCTCTCTGCCCCCCCCCTTTCCCTGTCACTTTCTCTTTTGCCTCCATGTTTATCTCTCTGTATGTACATGTATGTATGTATTTATTTGTGCTCTGTGTCAGTCTGTGTGTGTGTGTGTGTCTCTCTCTCTCTCTCTCTGCCTCTCTCACATCCTTTGTATTTCAATTTTTGTATTATGTTTGTCTTTTGTGCAAAAATATATGTTAACAATAGGTCAGACTCATATTATATAATGACAGATTTTCCTGAACTGTTTTAGAAGTGAGGCCAACCAAGATCATAGTGTTAAAGATATGCTTACAAAATTTTACCTCACTTTTTCGAGAAATCCAAAATTGGCATATAATCTTTCATGCCCTTACTTAAAATTACCAAAATTAATTTTTTTTCCCCCATATGAAATGCATTTCACGATTGAGCATTCAAAAATGAACTTGCAGCCATATTCACCGTCATTTCTCACCGTTTGTTGTGCAGGAACACAAGTGATGAGGAGGATAGTCACCAGCGCATTTGTCTCCATGCCGAGATAGATCATCCTGCCTTGGGAGTGGTGAGTCGGGTTCTAGGTTTCTCCTTTGCTCAAATGAAAGTGTCCTTATATCTGGCATGAGAGGTGTTCAACAAAAAATATGTATACTCGAGGAAATAATGATGATAATGATGTCTATGAATATGATGATGAGGCCTAAAAAGAAGATGTTGTTTTGCCCTTTGCGACCGATTAGAAAATCTTGAATTCAACGGTCGGCTTTTTTAAAAGCCATTTTTTTTTTTTTTTTTTTAACGTTTTTTAGAGAAAAAAATATTAAGGCCTTCAAAACTGAGAAATATCAGCCTAAAGAGGGAGAAAAAACAGGAAGAAAAGTTTTTAAAAGAAGAAGATTTCTGACCGATTTACCCATGTTTTGGCACCTTCTTTTTTTTTGGCCTGGTGAGGAGGAGGAAGATGGTGATGATGATGATGGTGATGATGATGGTGGTGATGATGGAATATCTTACCTCACAGATCTTGGCCTTAGCAACAAGGTACCAATAATTTAACTAATAAATCAAATGTTCCTCTATTTTCTTCCAATTGCAGGTTCATGTATTTGTGAGTCATCTGTCTCTAAGCGCAGTTGCCAGGGAGAGGAGTGTGGTAGAGATATGGCGTTACATGCAGCGTTTCCCTGGTCAAGCAATACTCCTGGGAGACCTCAACTCAGAGCCCCATGAAGCGCCAATGAAGTAAGTGTAATGCTTCCATGGTGAATAATAATAATAATGATAGGCATTTCTATAGCGCCGTCTATCTAGAAATTTAATTCCGAGGCGCATTAATTATTACCCTGGCTTTAGCCTAGCTGCCATTACAGCGCTCCAGCATTTCAAGGAATTAATTCCTGCCAGGTACCCATTTACCTCACCTGGGTCAAGTGTGGCAAATGAAGATTAATGCCTTGCCAAAGGACCTTAGTGCTGTATCGGATATCGAACCACGACCTTTGAATTACAAGTCAAAGATTTGAGCGAGGTTTGCAGTTACACCACATATTACTCATGCTCTATCTGTTGAACTTTTGAAAGACATTTCAAGAGCGTGGATGGACCAATTAACCCTGTCAAAAGAATATATGGTGTAACAGCGAACCTTGCTCAATGAAGTGAGTGTTGAGGAAAAAGCAATGAGCTGTGAATTAAAAGGATATCTATGAATGCGGCATTTTCACATTGTGATTGGCCTATTTGTATCAGAGATGTGGCATTATTTGTTTTTCACTGGTTTATGTGACCTCTATGCCAATACACGTGAAGCATCACAGCAAAAATTAACATCCCTTTCAGGAGAAGCAGCAGTTAACTGAATTCTAAGGCTAGATAGAATTGAAATGTGGAATCAATACATAGAAATAGAATAAACATTATTGATGTATGGCACATTTGACAATTATGTGTACTTCTTTCATACCTAAATGTTTCATCTCAAGTATAACACCTTGTTTGAGATCCATAATGACCACACACCACATGTAAAATTCCTTTTCGTTTCCATCACATTTCAGATTTTTAAGAGGCGAGATTGAACTGCTGGGACATCGAACAGAAGGCTTGGTCGATGCGTGGAAAGTGTTTCACAGTGAACCAAGGTTGGTAAACAGCTCTTGCATGTAGCATCTCTATCCTTCTTGAGATATAAGAATTGATAGCAAATCATGTTGTAGGTTTTTTAACAGACTTTCAACTTGAAGACTGCACAGTATTCTAGGCAATCCTTTTTATTGTTTTTATTGTGAGGGGTTTTTGTTTGGTTGGTTTTGTTATTATATGGTTGTTGTTGATTTTTTGGTCTGGTATTTTTCCTTTGGTTGATTCATCTTTTCGGAATGCTCCAGTAACTGTGTTCAAGATCTCTTGAAGAGCTTTGGATCTCCTCTTAGCCAAACTCTTTAAACCTAAATTCAGTGATTATTTTTTATATTAAAGCCTGTCTGCACTACTTTGGCCAGGGGGGCTTAGACCTCCCTGCGAGGTCATGACAGGTGGTTATTTCATCAAATCAGCTCTCAATTAACATAAGAAAAAGAGGATCATGGGGGACCAAGAGGCACTGATTAGGCATTGTTTGCTATATAGAGGGCGCAAGTAGCTTTAAGTAGTGCAGTGGAGCTTAATCAAATATGTTTGAAGGCTCTGTTAGAAGGTAAACCTTTTTTGTTATTTCCTTTTTCAAATCATTATTGCATTATCTCTTCTGGAACATACATCTTCTTGTAAACAGACCAAATGTGCCAGGAACTTACAAAGGTGATGAGCCTCGTGACCTTGGGCTGACCTACAATTCATTAGAGGAACACATGAGCAAGAGGGTGAGTTCATTGCCATTTCTTTGCTGCATTAAAGGCATCGTTTAACATTGTTAAATCTGAGATGCATGGCCCTACGTGTTATCAGTGTCTGTAATATGGTGCAATATTGAAGCCCTAAAAAAATTACACTTCCAAATGATCATGAAGTGCCTCAAAAAAAGTAAAAATCTTTGAGTGACCGGTTTTACCATACTCATTTTTCCTAATAGACTGTAGTGTGATGAAAACCGTTAGGAAAACGAATTCTGAAATTTATAATTCCAAATCATAGATATCTTGATAATCAGATGGCCGATTGGGTTGTAAAAGTCATGGGATTCATATGTGACCTAAAGGTTTATAATTATGATTGCAGCATGAGCTAAGTCCAGGATTTTTTTTTTTAATCTGAGGCAAAGTTACCCAATCCCTTTAAAAACTTGAAATAACATCCCTATTTGTATGAAAGAAGTAACTTGTCTTGCCTCTTTCAAAAGACAGCTTTTACATTCTTCTTCCCTCAGTAATATGAGATTTATTTCTGTTTTGAGTCTGTGTATTTGATGTATGTCTTCAAATTCAATGAATTTGTTATTGACTGTTATTATTAGTAGTAGTATCATTATCATTATTATTGTTTTTATTATTATTAGTTTTATTATCATTATTATCATTAAACTATCTCGTCAGCTGTGCCTGGGAGGGGAAAAGCAAGCTTTATCACTAACCCTACAGTCTCTCATGAAATAATTTTATTGGGATGTACAGGAGCACCACTAGGCGCAACGAAAAAAAATGTTGTATTGCCCGTTGCGAAAGACCCAGAAATCTTGAAAACTACATGTATGTTTTTTTTACCGTTTTTTAGAGGAAAAATGTTTCATGAATGGAAAGATATGTATTTAAGCATTCAAAACTGAGAAATATCAGCCCAAAGAGGGATAACAAAAATATTAGAAAAAATTTCTGACCGACCGACCCATGTTTTGGCACCTGAAGGGCAATACAACATCTCTTTTTGAAGGCCTTAGCTAGGGTTTTCACCTACCCTTTTTATTACAAATAGTGCAGTGGGTTCTTAACGTTCAAAGGGGGTGACTTTCCTATACACATGGTCTCTATTGAATTTCCTATCTAAGTAACAGATTGTTTTCCACGGTAACCTAGCCTTTATTCATCATGTGAATTCTGCTTCCTGCATCTATCAAATAACCCCCTCTGCTTCATCCTCCATTTCAGATTGACTTTGTCTACGTCCGTCTGACCGATGATTTTAAACTCCTGGAAGCATCCTTGGTAGATGATGGTGTCCGTGGCGACAAGGCAGCATCTGATCACATAGGAGTAGCAGCTGTCATAGCTCCAATATCACAATCATCAGGAAAGCGTTAAATTCATTTATCGAGCATTATGTACTTTTGGTATAACATTCCAACTTTGTAATCTATATTATTATACTGCCAACCAAATTTGTACTACGGTTTTCATGCCTTATCTATATGAAGCTTTGGTTTGTTTTTATACATCTGAATGTTTTGTGATTTAGTGATGTAGAATGACAGCAACCCATGGGACTTGGCATAGAGATGAATATATAGGGCATGAACCCATTAAAGTGTCATATCAATATCTTAACTGCTGCATCCATCTTCCCACATCTCCATTATGTTTACCCATTTCCCCTCATTCCCAGCCCACCATTGTTTATCCCTCTATCCAAAATGTTCTTCCCAGTGTCTACTGAAATTACCACTCTCGCCCCATGATTCGACTCGTGCCCCCTCTTGTTTAAAGGTACCATCATAATTAATTGCCACATCCACTACGTCACCGTCCTTGAGTGATTGTTCCTTTCCTTATGGCCCTCTCCCTTAGCTCCCTCACTGCCTAGGCCATCTTCTCCTCACAGGTCTGTGAAAGGTTCAGTCATGCGATTGCATTGTGTAAGAAACAGTGTTGAATCGATCAGAAAAGTATGATCATTTAGCATATAAGTATTGGAGTGTACTTCAAAGTTCTGGAATCATCATAATGATAAGAAATTTGGCCCAGTCTTGGTAAACTTACTAGCACTGTACACAGAACGATGTATATGGGACTACGCGATATCTATCCAGTCCGGATAGATATGATAATTTACCAAATATATCAATTAGTTGGCAGCAAATCATAATTAAAAAAAAAAAAAAATCATCATTATTTTTAATGCTTATTTTATGCAGGATTGATAATAATAATAATAATAATATTGGCATTTATATAGCGCTCTTACAGACATACATGTGTATCACAGCGCTTTACAACATTACATTACTTAATTGACATTGATAGCAAACAATAAAATTACGTACACAAAAATATATAAATTCAACTATTAAAGAGAAAGGTTTTCAAGGACCATTGAAAGATAGCGAGAGAAGGAGAAGATCGTACAGCCTGAGGGAGATTGTTCCAGAGACGTGGTGCGGAAACAGAAAAAGATCGATCCCCAAAGCGTGTACGACTCCTGGGAACCGAGAGCAAGGTTGGGTCGTTGCCAGATCTCAGACCATGCCTTCCTGGTTGCAACTTAGCAACTTAGCTCAAACAGTTCATAACTACAACACTAATTACAAAAACACTTAAGTGCTACTCCTAAAAATTAACACTGCCTAAATCCAACACAAGTATCTTGTTGTGATTCAAAAACTAAACACATGAGTCTGTGAAACCAAATACCAAAATCTAAACAAATTATAAAAAGAGAGCTTAATATAGCAATCATTTTGTCAACAGCTCTGATAATATTTCACACCAAAATGGGTTAATCATTCCCCCATCTCGCATTTCTGTACAGCCAATTTTTCAATATAGGGCCTTAGAGGGAGCACTGGTTATCATTTTTTTAATTAATTACAAATCTTGTCAGATAATTCAATACTACAATTTAAATCCACAAAACCTAGCACTGGAATAGAAACTAATTAATTAAGATCATATTAGCAATTAGCAAATTGTTATCCTTCTTTAGTAACACTGCTTACCATTCTTTTAAAATTAATTACAAATCTTGTCAGATAATTCCATACTACAATCTCAGTCCTCAAAACCTAGCACTGGAATAAGAACTAATTAATTGATATCAAATTATAATCAACAGAGTTGCTGACATTGGAAATGAAATAAATACGAATTGAATTGAATACAATTTCAAAATTTGTAAATCATGGCGCAAATTCTCTTAAATATAAATTATTATCATTCTAAGGTTCATTCAGACAAAATTAATTGCATCTCTTCTGTCCATCTGAGGCTCATTGAGAACTTTTGAGATGTTGCACGTCTTCACGATCTCAATATCATCCACTGCCGGCCACACATACTTGTTAAGTGACACTTTTGGGGGGAACTTTACTGTGAGCTCTTGTCCACTGCTAATTATTACCTGACCAACGAATTGTTTGGCATACTTCTCGCTTGATAATGGCACTAAAACCCACTCGAATCAAGATCTGCATCTTCATCAACACATGATCTTTTTACTCTGTGACCATGTGGATTTTCTTTGTGTTGGGGATTGCAATTATTCCTTCCAGATCTTTGTTGATGTTGAGTACGGTCTTTTGTATCTCTTCTTTGGAAACATTAAAGATGTTGATGCCTGGGCATTTCATACTTGTGACGTCAGCAAACTGTTGAGGTGTCTTGACATCTACTCTGCCAGACAGGGCTTCCTTGGCAACCACTCTTTTGCATGTGCCACCTATTCCATCTTTAATTAGACACTTAATATAATATACCTATACTTCCAAAAAGGGGCAAAATTCATAAAAAATGTAACACAGCATACAGTATTTTTACATAAAGCAGCAGGTCCATTTCTAGCCAAACATACCACTCATTACTAGTGCTGCTGCCCCTTGTAATTCCGTTACCTATGTTATTCCGTTACCAGTGTTTTGATAGGAAAAACATCAATTGATACTTAGGGCTTTGAGTAGGTACATAAAGGAAGAGAAGTTGCAACTACAAAAAAAAAAGAGTAAAAAATAACTTTATGAGTGTTTCAAATTTTGGTGACGGAATTACATCATTTTAAAGGTAAAATTGAAAAATCTCTCCTTCAAAAACTTTTTTCATTTGCTGAAAATGATTTGCAAAACTTGATTCCCATGTGTTAAGTTGTTCAATTCGGAATAAATATAGAAGAATACATTTTAAATACATTGCTCCACTGAATTTTAAGAAATTATAATAAGATGATCATGTACATGTAATTGAGGCCCCCAACATAGCCCCAACTTCAAATAAATTTTTCAGAAAAACTGTTTAAGATATTTCAAAACGGTTTTCAGTTTCATTACACAACACTTGTCGTCTATATGGAAAATGTCATATTATAGAAGTTGGATCAAATTTAGAATTTGGTGATTTTCCTCTTTCCCATACGGAATTGCCCATATACCGGTATATGCATACCTATACATGTTATGGCAAGCTACTGAAAGGCAAGGAAAATGTTTGCACTGAATATGATAAATTAATATAACATTTTATAAACATTTATCTCTAATGTGCATGCATTATAACACACTGAGGCAGAAGGCAGCTATTGTTTGGCTAAAAAACACTAAATGACATGGATAAACACTTTACTTTACCCCCCCCCCCCTCCAATACTCCAATACACAGACACTTTAAGATGAAAAGTAAAAGACAAGAGACCTTTGGGTCTGGTGCTTACCTGATCATGCAGCTTTTGAATTGAATTGAATTAAAAATGGTTTATTAACAACTATACATGTACATACATGTGGCAGCCCGAAAGCTGAATTGCAATATCTGTTCACAGTTAGCAGGGAAAACCGCAATTGAAATTACAAAATATACATTAAACAAAATATTAAATTCAATATGTGGGGGTTTAAGAGTGAGAGAGAGAGAGAGGGGGGGACGAAGTGAGGGGAGAAGAGAGACAGAGACAATGACAATCAGAGAGAGAAAGAGGGAGAGAGACCGTATTAGGATGTTTTAACAATACAATGTCTACATTCAATACATTATAACGACAGAAAGTGACTTACGCAAGGATTGAAGTGCATATAAAAACAAACAAATCAACAATTAAAAGAGACACATATTCAACTCTTTTTTAAATGAAAATAGGGTGCACAGAGGAAAAAAATTGAGTACAAAATTATCGGTAAAACATACAACAGTACACAAAATATTACGGTCGATATTATTTTGGTGGTCTCAGTGTGAAAAAGACGGAAAGGAAGAGAGAGACAGAAAGGAAGAGAGAGAGAGAGAGAGAGAGGGGGCATGAATGAGAGAGGGAGAGAGAGAGAGAGAGCGATGAAAAGAGAGAAAGAGGAAGTTTAACAATACAATGTCTACATTCAATACATAACAACAAAAAGTGATTTAGGCATGGATTGAAGGGCATATCAATACTTTCATTTCGTAGCACAGGAGTCATTGAATCATTTTTTCGAGTTCGGGTCACTATAATCTCGCCTCTGAATTTTGAATTGTCTGCAATTTTCTGATCCGGTAGGGATACCACATCATTCAGTAGGGATCCTACCGGATATCGTTCTTGACGATGCGTTGGAATGATGACTTTGATATTCCCATGCCGTTCCTTCTGGCGGATACCCTTGGGTTCTCTTCCAGCATGCGTCTTACGTTGTTGATATTGTCGGGGGGTCTTGCTCTTCTCCTTCTCCCCAACCAGCCCTTGTTAGGAATCAGGCTAGTACCCTCCTCTTGGTATTTTCTAATGTTCCTCCAAATAGTTGATTTGGCTGGAATCTCGCGATCAGGGAAGCGAGGCCAGAAAGCCTCAGCAACTCGCTGAAGGCTAGGCCCGGATCGTCCCCATTCTGTTACAGGAAATACTTGTTGCTCTGTCGTTAATTGCATGGTGAAATAGGAAATGAAAAATATGTGTCATTTATAAATTATAATTGTGATTAAGTTATGATACAAACATCAATAATTCTTGGTTTTGTTTTTTCTGGGATGTATTGTATATTCAAATGATGTGAAGATTCTGGCTAATTAAAACCTCTTGACTTGAAAGGACTGCTTGATGCATATAGCTACACCAGCTCCTACACAACCCACCCATGATAGTCATAGTTCTGAAGGGTGGATGATATCTGAGCTAGGGGGATGTTGTCGCGATCATCGCCCGTGAACCATGTCTCCGTCACAGCTGCGATGTCTATTCGATAATCAATCCTGAGGTCACAGAACATGTGCGTTTTATTGTTTAATGATTTGCCGTTCCAGAGGGCAAATGTCACCGGATCTTCGTTGACTGCCGCAGTTTCCTGTAGCTGCAGACAACGTCTGGCTTGATGTGGCTCGAGCTGGCTGGCTGGCTGGCTGGCTTGGTCCGAGTTGGGTTTTTATTAATGCATCGCAACTTCTCGCTTTGGGTTACCGTCGGGTAGAGACTGGTGTCCCAGAAAGATACTCGGATGCACCTGAATTTGATAGGTCCAGGGGCGATGGTGAACGCCTCCCTGTTGCTGTCCTTGGCCTCGGTTCCTCCCTGACAGGAGTAGATGGCGATCTTGATCTGCGTTGTGACCTCGATCTTACTCGGGTCGGGCTGGGTGAAGACATTGAGCGCTACAGGGACCTGGGTGGCAAAAACTTGAATGCTGCTGGCTTATACGAATGCTTCACTAGGGTCAAACTGTAGTTTCGGGGTGGTACCACTAAATCATTAAAATCTGCTTGCTTATTTGTTACAATACATACAAGGTTCACACACTTTTTGCCCAATACAATTACATGACTTTCCATGACTTTCCAAGTAAGAATTCCAGGACTTTCTCACAGGCTAATGTTGCACACAAAAACATTCATGCATGAGCAGAGGATATATACACTGTGATATCCGTGATAATGTTGTACAGTATTAATGATAAGAAGGCCCAACTATTAAGTTTTGGAAGAGTTCAATTTATAAAAAAAAGGAAAAGTGGTATGACATGTATATAA